ACTTCTCCGAAGATACTCCAACATATTCGACAAGGATGGCGACAAACCAAGCAGGACTAACGTTGTGAAACATCGCATTGATACTGGCGATGTAAGTCCAATCCGTCAAGCTCCTCGGAGTGTTCCACTTGCCAAACGTGAAACTTTTAGCCAAATAATAAAAGAAATGAGCGGGAGTGGTGTGATGGAACCATCAGCGAGTCCATGGAGTTCGCCGGTAGTACTTGTGACGAAGAAGGATGGTCAAATGCGGTTCTCCGTAGACTACCGGAAACTAAACGATGTGACGAAAAAGGACAACTATCCTCTTCCCAGGATCAATGACACTCTGGACTCGTTGACTGGAACAAAGTGGTTCTCAACACTCGACCTTAAGAGCGGTTATTGGCAAGTGGAGGTAAGTGACGAGGATAAGGAGATGACAGCTTTCAGCGTTGGAGACGGTCTGTGGCAATTCACGGTGATGCCCTGTGGATTATGCAACGCTCCCGCCACTTTTGAACAACTTATGGACCATGTGCTCAAAGGACTGCGTTGGAAAACATGTTTGGTGTATCTAGACGACATTATCATATTGGGTAAAAGCTTTGAGGAACACCTGAACAATTTGGAAGAAGTTTTCCAGAGGATAGCTGGCGCTGGTCTGAAGCTAAGTCCTAAAAAGTGCTCACTGTTCAGGAAGGAGGTGAACTACTTAGGGCACAAGGTGACAACGGAGGGCATCTGTACTGCGAAGGAAAAGATAGAAGCAGTAAAGGATTGGCCAAGACCTAGGAACCTGGACGAACTACGAAGTGTTCTTGGGCTATGCACCTATTATCGCCGATTTGTTCCGAATTTTGCCAGCGTTGCTAATAGCCTCCACGAGCTCACTAGGAAAAATAGAGCCTTCGAGTGGAACAAGGAGCAGGAGGAGGCTTTCCAGACTCTGAAGGAACGACTATGTACTGCACCTATGCTAGCGTATCCCGTTCCAGGTGCAACGTTTATTTTGGATACGGATGCTAGTGGTTATGCCATAGGAGGCGTACTGTCGCAGGTAATTGATGGGCAGGAGAAGGTAGTTGCGTACTATAGCCGGTCGATTTGAAAACCAGAGAGGAACTACTGCGGAACTCGGAGAGAACTACTAGCGTTGGTGGACTGCGTCAAACATTTCCACAAGTACCTCTATGGGCAACGTTTCCGAGTTCGAACGGACCATGCAGCGCTGAAGTGGCTACTACAGTTTAAGAATCCAGAAGGACAGCTAGCTCGGTGGATTGAGAGACTGCAAAGTTATGACTTCGCTATTGA